CCAGATCGGCCCCCAGCCCCCAGCCCCCCCCGCGATCGCTTTCGCAGGACGAGGCGAACAACTGGCACATGGGCGTGTCCACGACGTTCCTCGAAATGCGGACTGCCGCGGGGGGGGCGGCGTCTGCGTCGGACGGGGGAGAGGGGGCAGTAGGGCCCGGGCCCGGGCAACCTAGGGCCTCGGCGGGCCTCGGGGGGAGGGGCGAGAGAGGCTGGGCCGGGGGGGGGCAGTCGGTGGGGGGAGGGCCGGGGGTTCAGGAATGCGCCCGGACCCGGGGCCTCAGGGGGGTGGTCCAGACTTGGTATTCCTTATCCAAGGTCCCCACGCCGCCGTATTCGACATGAATACTACGCCCCCCCCCCCCGGCGTTGGGACACAGACTGGCGGGGTGTCAGACTTGGCGCGAGCGCACCTAGTCTCGGCACCTGTCTCAGCTAGCCAGGTTGCACGAGGTGAGCCAGCTTGAGGCGAAGTGGAACGCGCACAAGAGGAAGGAGTCTATCGATTACAACTCCCTTCCCAAGTCTGGTCCTGGATGCTATGCTTCTCTTCGGAGGCAATGGACAATCGGCACATTTGGAGGGATGTTCAACAATTCTGACAACCTGGTGCGGACGTGCAAGGCGTGGTTCGATACACTTCAAAGGTAGCCTCTGGCCCCTCCTTTACTCAATTACTCTTCCCCCCTCCTCCTCTTGTCCCTTCTCCTCCTCCTCCTCATCCAATTCCTCCTCCTCGCCCTTCCCCTTTCTCCTTCTCCTCCTCCCCATGTAGAAAGGTTGGGCGTGTACCAGAAGTTTGTGGATATGTGCGGCAGCGCTGGCGGGGTGGACTTTCTTCGCCCTGGTCTCATATCAACCACCGTGATCAGCGTCTGCGCAAGCCTGACGGAGACGCTCGTTGAGGGGTTCAGCGACACATTGGAATCACACGTGCTTTCGTTGGTTCTCACCGAGCTCTTGAAGTTCGCAGTTCCCTGGGTTCAGCCTGATGGGGCCCCCGCCGTGTGCGATACGTGGTTGTTCCAGACGACCGCTTCTCTTTCCATGCTGAGTCTGTTGCGCACGCCGATGGCTGGATCGACTACGTACAAGGCCCAGGCGGGCCGCGGCGGGCAATGCGCTCTGCTCGTCTCTTCGACCTCTCCTCGGGCTCCTCCTCTCCTCTCCCCCTCCTCCGCCTCCTCCTCGGCCCCCCCCTCTTCCCCCTCCTCTCCTCCTCCTCCTCCTACTCCTCCTCCTCCTCCACCTCCCTATTCCTCTCCCCCTCCTCCTCCTCCTCCTCCTCCTCCCCCTCCTCCTTTTCGCCGCCCGCCCCCCCCCCCTGCCCCGCCCCCCCGGCCGGCCTGCCAGAGGCGAGCGCGGCGAAGGCGAAGCCCAGGCCCAAGGCTAAGGGCAAGCCCAACGCCGAGCCGCCGAAGAAGAGGGCGAGGAAGGGCGCGTTGCTGGCGCTCGGAGGAGGAGGGGGAGGAGGAGGAGAAGGAGAGGAGGAGGAGAAGGAGAGGAGAAGGAGAAGAAGGCGGACGGAGGAGAAGGAGAGGAGCAGGCAGAGGACGGAGGAGAGGAGGAGAGGAGCAGGCAGAGGACGTGGAGGAGGAGGAGGGGGATGGGAGAGAGGAGGGAGGAGGAGGAGGAGGAGAGGAGGAGGGGGAGGAGGGCGAGTAGAGGAGGAGGAGGAGGATGAGTAGAGGAGGAGGAGGAGGAGGAGGAGGAGGAGGAGGAGGAGGAGGAGGAAGAGGAGGATGCGGAGAAAGAAGTGAAGATGAGGAGGAGGATGAGGAGGCGGGGGGGGGGGGGGGGGGGCCCGAGGTGCCGGACGAGGAGATGACTTCGTCAACTTCTGGCGCCCGCCAGAAGTACTGGCTCGACGACCTCGTCGCCTGCGTCTACAATCCGCTGAAGTTCATCAAGGACAACCAGGTCATCGAGTCCGACGTCTCTCGCGCCATCTTCATCGGCCTGCAGTTCTGTTTCACGAAGAAGGCTGTGCAGCAGGCCGCGATTTACACAAAGTGGAAGCCGCTGCGCAAGGACCTCCGCGAAATGATCATCCGCTCTCACGGGGTGGCGCTTCGGCCCGCGGAGATGCCTGGCGAGCCGCTCGGAAAGTTGGCGACCTCTGATGAGATTACCAAGAAGGTCTTGGAGCTCTTGCACGAGAACGGCGACGGCGAGGACAACCCGGGCAACGAGGCCATCGCCGAGGAGATCTCGAAGCTGTCCATGAGCGCTCCCGCCATCGGCGTGCTGAAGAGGATGGCTGAGGACCAAACGTTTGTCAAAGCGTTCCTGTCTTTCCTCTCGCAGAACCTGTCGTCGCTCACCCCGTGCGGGCTGCAGCCTGCTTGCCGAGAGCTGTCTGACAAGACCGCAGTTGCAGTTGCATGCGCGTTGCGCGGGGGCATCGCTGATGACGCCGCGAAGGTGAGGATCGTGTGCGACGCGATCGCTGTTGAGTTGTTCAAGGCCGTTCCCACGCGCTGGATTGAGTTCGCTTCCCACGTCCAGGGCGCGCTGGACTCCAAGAGCTTCCAGAATGAGCCGGAGGATAAGACGTCTGTCCTGTCGTTCAAGGTGTTCAGGTCCAAGTCGGATGTTTCGAGGGCGCTTACTCTGCGGACATTGTACTTCCGGCACTGCGCCGCCCCGTGGATCCAGGGCGTCGAGAAGATCACGACGGACGATTACTCGCATGTATTGATGTGGATCTACGCGGCCCAAGCAGACGTGGCCTCGTTCGTCGAGTCCAGCTGCGGCGACTACTGCTCGGCTGAGCTGTTCTCCGATCGCTTCCAGCAACTGATCAATTGCTCCATCGTCACCGACTCCGACGGCAAGCGTCGCGGCCTCGACTGCGAGGAGATGAAGGCGGCCATGGGCGAGTTGCGGGAGAAGAATGAGCAGGCGAGCGATGCGGCGGCGGCGGCGGCAGAGGGGCCCTCCGACGAGGTGGTGGCCTCCGAGGCGCCGAAGCAGGCTGTGGAGCAGACGGCGAGATCGCTCGAGACGTCGGAGCGGTTGATGGACCTGCCTTCCATCCGCGCGATGTTCTCGGTGGCCCCAGATGGGAATCAAACTGGGAGAGAGCTCGAGGTGCCCGCGATGGCCATTGGGACCCTCGTCCTGAACTTGGAGTCGAAGTTGTTCGACTGCGCTTTCCACGGCACGGCCCCGACTCTGCTGAGCCCAGACAATTACGACGGCGGGAGCGGCAATCTCAAGGGGTCCCCGTTCTCCGGTGAACCTGGCCTTTCCTGGGCCAAGGGCTCCAAAAGCGTGACGCCGAGCATCGCTCTCAACATGGTCGGGCACGTGTCGTGCGCGCCAGCTGTGGGCGCATGCATGGCATGCGCGTTCGGGGGCGAGAACGGCGACCAGAATGAGATCTTCTGCAATCCTACTGGCACAGATTTCTCTACGCCTGAGTTCGTGCCAGCCTGGCTAGCGCACGTCATCGACGAGGAGGAGGAAGGCGTCGGCGGCGGCGGCAATGACAAGTACTACGGCGATCTCAAGATGACGTGCGAGGAGAAGAAGTTCCCGTGCGCTCACCGCTACAGCGTGTTCGCCGAGGACCCCAGGGAAACGGAGGAGGAGGAGGATGGGGGGGGAGGAGGAAGAGGGACTGAGGAGGCCCTGAGGAGGCCCCCCCGTCCGCTCTTGCAGGAGAAGGTCATCCAGCTCGATGCGACCGCGATCCAGCTCGCGCTGCCCTGCGACGAGAAGGTCGCCAAGATGATCAATGCGGCGCCCGCGGGGTCGCGATTCCGTCTGGTCCGGGGGCCGATTGCGAAGCGGGTGTCCGTCAAGCCGAGGAGGAAAGGCAAGGGCGCCACCAGGGGCAAGGGCTCGGGCAAGAGCTCGGGCTCATCGTCATCGGGCCCGGGCCCGTCGGTGCCGTCGGTCCCTGCGGAGGCTCGGCACCTCGTCCAGTGAGCTCTAGGCGAGTAGAGGATGAGGATGAGGAGAAGAGGAGGTGGAGGAGTGGAGGAGGATTGGGAAAGTCAAGTAAGCAAGCCATGCATGATGCATGGGCTGCTGCAGCCGTCTGCACCGTCGGCCCTCGACCTCTGCCCTGCCCCCGCTCCCTGCCCTTCTCTCGCGCTCCCCCGGCAGTGCCGCTGCTCTCGCAGCTCCTCTGAGTTTTTCTTTGAATTTGCGTTGCCCGCCGCCGCCCGCCTCCGCGTCTGTCTGGCAGTCTGGACTTGGAGAAGGAGGAGGTGAGGAGGAGGAGGAGGGGGGGAGGAGGAGGAAGAGGGGAGGGGGGGAGGGGCAGGAGGAGGAGGAGGAGGAGGAGGGAGGATGGGGAGGAGGAGGAGGATGAGGAGGAGGAGGAGGAGGAGGAGGAGGAGAGGAGGAGGAGAGGAGGAGGAGGAGGAGGGAGAGGCAGGATAGAACGAGGTCTCTCAGAGCCAGACTGAAGACATTATGTTTAATAGCAAATGTAATGTCGGAGCGGGGCGGTGGCCGCGCGAGCCGCGCGAGAACGCGAGAAGAGGGCATGTCTTTCTGTGCGCATTTGGGCGCAGGCGGAAGGCAGCTTGCCCGGCATTTCAATTTCCCCTGCCCGCCCCTGCCCCTGCCCCTGGGCGGCGGCGCCTGCAGGGCGGCCGCGCCGCCGCGCCGAGCGCCGCGCCGGGGCGGCGCCAGCCGCCAGCGGCGCGAGCGGCCCCGTCGGCAGGGGGGGCAGGCTTAGGCTTAGGCTCTACAATCTTTACCCCCAGGGCCCCTGGGGGGCGTCTCGCAATCGATGGATGAAGTTGCCCATGCTCTTCCCCCGTCCATCGGGCCCCCCCCCTCAGTCCTTCCGCCCCCCCCCACCCTCAACCTTTCTGGATTCCGCCCCCCCCCCCGAGAAGAGAGAGAAGGAAGGGGGGGGAGAGGAGAGGGAGGAGAAGGAGATGATCGGTCGGTTGTGTTTGGGCCCAAGTTAAGATTTGTGCGATTTCTCGAGTCTCGGGCCCAGTGCCTCCTCGGGCCGCTCGGGCGCTCGGAGAGATGGCTCTGCGCATCGCAGACGGGCGCGTGCGGTCGCGGTCCCCATGCGAGTACCGCTATCAAAAGGGTGATGGGCCTTGGAGTGGCGGCGTCGTGCGCCGGGAGGCTCGTTCGCACCCAGACTGCTTGGTTGACATCAGGGACAACGAATCCGAGGCTTGGCATAAGAACATCGAGCACAACCTTTATTGGCACTACTTGGGCAAACGGCAAAGGGCACCCCCCCGTTGGCAGGGCCCCCTTGGGGCCCACGGGGCCCACGGGGCCCCGTGGGGCCCATGGGGTGAGGTGGGGATGAGGATGAGGAGGGAATGGAGGGAATGGGGGTCCTAGCCTACTAGCCGTTAGCCTGCCGAGGACGCGGCACGGGACACACGACCTCCGTCAGCTACACTCTGTTTGCATTTGCAGGGTGTGCGGGGTCTGGTGCAAGGATCCCGCTTACCTCTCAGCCTCCTCCGTCTCCTTCCCCCCCCCCTCCCCCTCTCCTCCTTCGCCCTCGCTCCTCCTCCCGAGAGGAGGCGTGCAATCGTAACATGGGCGCGCGCTGCACTGGGCGTCCGCGCTCTCAGTATTACAAGGCGTGCATCACTAACGTCAAGTTTGGCCTGTACCCTCGCAGAGTTGACAGCCAGCGGCAGGCGTTTGGTGAGATCGATGGCCGACGCCGCCCATCGTCGTCGTCGGGCGACTCGGACGACGACGGCGGCCGCCTGCTCTCACTCGAGGACGGCCCGATCGAATCGGGCGGCCTGCTGGCGATCGAGGACTCGAAGGGCGGGCCGCTGACGATGTGACGATCGCCTCAGCCCACGCACGTTTTTTTGTTTTAGAAGCCGCGGCCGGAGGCGAAGGGGAGGGGCGGGCGGAGGACGGGGGGGGGAGTCGGAAACCGACCGACGGACCGTCGGAAGATAATTGGGGAGAGGGGGGGCGGAGGAGGCGGAGGAGGAGGAGGAGGAGGAGGAGGGCGAGGAGGAGGAGGAGGAGGAGGAGGAGGAGGAGGAGGAGTTCGAGGAGACGGGGGCCCGGCAGCCCCTCGCCGCTCACGTCGCGTTCCCTAGCCGCTGCTCGGCCATTAGTCTGCTGTCAGAGTCTGCTGTGGGATAGCAGATGCAGATGTGGCCCTCTCTCTAGAGCGAGCGGTGAGAATTTAGTTTACAGGGGGGGTGACTTGCTTTGCTCGCCTTCGTGTCCTCCTACTCCTCCTCCTCCTCCTCCTCCTCCTCCTCCTCCCTTCCTCCCTCCCCCCACCTTCCTCTCCTCCTCCTCCCCTCCTCCTCCTCCTCCTTTCCTGCTTCCTCTTAGTTCTTTTCACCGTTGTTTCTCATTCTCCTCTACCGCCCCTCCCCGTCTGCGCCGCGGCGAGAAGGAGGCAGGCGCGCGTGCGCCCCTGGCGCAGCATCGGCCTGCGGACCGAAGTAGTTCGAAAGAAATAACGAAAAGAGGTTGCTCTTCCCTCCTAGCATGTCCTCCCCTCTTCGTGGCTCCGTGGCCCCTCGTGGCCCCGCGAGATTCTCCATTGCCCCTCGTGGCCCCTCGTGGCACCTTTTGCGTTTGTAGGGGGGGGGGGGGGGTCCTCTCGCGAAATTCCAGAGGGGGCCTTCTGGCGCTTATGCCAAAAACTTCGCATCGGCTTATTCACCTCGTCGAATTTTGAGCCCTCAGCGTTTGGGTGGGATGTCCGAAATCGCTTGTGCTCGGTTTGCGCGTGGCTCGTTTTCAATTGTTTTGCGAATAGCGGCGCGTGCAGATTTGACGAACATGGCATTATGTTAATCAGTTGCGCCGCGTGAGCGACTATACCAACCCTGCGCGACTACCCCAAAAACCACTTTCGACCCTACCCCCCCTGACCTCGAAAGCAACGTCGGTGAGGTCACGGTTTCCCAGGCGAGGCGCCTCCCCAGCTGCCCGGATCCTGGTCCCGAGGCCCCCGTGCTCCCCGCTGTGAGGCTGCGCAGACGACGCAACACCTCCGCCCCGGGCGCCCAGGATCGGCCGGGGGTCCGTGACAGACCTCACGCCCCCAATCGTGGCTTCAAGAGCTTCCGCGAGCGGAGCGCAGTGGCAGTGGGGCTCATGCCGAGAAGCACCCTGCTTGCCTCCAGGGCGCCCTGTGTTTCTTGGGTTTCGACGGTTCTGCTGTGGGCGGCGCGACGTTCCGAACCAAACATCAATCGACGCCCTGGGGTCTGAAGGTTGGGTTTATGGTGGAAGGATTCTTGTGGTCGAGCCCCTACTGTATCTCAGCTCTCGGCGCCGCTTGTCGTCGGCCCCCAAACCGAGCAACCAACGCCCCAGACGGCCATCCAGAACGCTCCATCAGGAGCCACGCCTACAAGTCCCGTGCCAACCCTTCGGCGCCGTGGGTCGTCCAGAAACCTCCCGCCCGACCCGTCCCCGAACAAGGTCTCGAAACTTTTGGCGCCCCAGGGAACAGCATCGAGGAAACCAAAAAACATTTGCAGTGGAGGTTTGTCATCTCGGAGCCAGGGACATCTCGGAGCCAAAAACTGGGGCATGTTTCATGGTTGACCCGCGCTCGCTCGGCGAAGTGCTCGCCCAGCTCGGAGTCCTCAAGAGCGGCATGTCGGGCTGCAACGCGCGGAACTCGCAGCAGATCAGGTACATGTCTGCGCCGAAAGCAAGGTCCTCGGCAGATTCGTGCTTGGGCGCCGTCTTCACCTGTGCCTGGCCACCATGGCCTCGATCTCGTCAAGAATACGTGGCCAATCGCCGTGGAAGGTCTCGAACTCCGGGTCCGCCACCGATGGTGTCTTCCCGCCACCGATAATATCCTCCACTTGCAGTTTTCATTTGGGGTCCACTCCGCCGGCGAGGAATCCCCATCCGATGCTGGGAAGCGTGGAGATGTCGCTGCAACAGGTCCACGGACGACTCGCCAACGGCGCTGGCCCTCGAGGCGGAGCCTGCTGCGAATACGCCCCCAAGATCTCACAACCTTCGGATTTATTCTGGATGTAATCGCCACATATATATATATATATATATATAGCCACGCCAGGACCTGCCCCCGACGAATGGGTTTAGCTGGGTCTCGTCGATCGTAGACCCATGCCGAGGGGGTCGTGAGATATCTGCCAGGTCCTGTGCCCACCACGCTCTGGGACGCTTGGCGTCGCAGCTGGACCAGCTCGCACCCTTGGACGCCGAGCGTTTGGTGGGAGTGCGCGCCCTGCGGTTTCGAGCCCATGCCCCAGAGGCCCTTGGTGATGACGCGGAGGCGGACGTGGCGGCGCATGCGCTGGATGGCCATGGTGCGCTGCTTCGCCTTCACGGAGCGCTCCATCGACTTCGGCCCCATGCGGTATTTCGCTGAAGTTGCGTCGGCACCAAAGTCCACTGCATGTCGGACCGGTGCGACAGGAACGCCGGCGTTCAGCAATTCCGCGGAGATGCGGCCAGCTAACCTCGAAGCCGACGCCCCCGCCGCTGTTTTTGGGCTGATCGCGAGCCCCGCATCGACGAGATCCTTCGAGACAGAGGTGCAGGATTCGGCCATCAGGTCGCTCGCTTTCTGTTCGGCGCTCTCCGACCCGACCGCGGCGCCGTCGACGCAGGCGCAGGGGGGGACATGCAACCTCCATCGTTCATGGGCTCGCGCCGAGATCGGCCCCGAGAAGGCCGTGGCCAGCCGCCCACTCTGCAGGGGGCCCGCCACCAGGCTCGGCACTGGCTGGATGGCCTTGCTGAGCCACGGCGCATCCTTCAAGCGCAGGGGCGACGAGAAAACCTGGAGCTCGAGGGGCAGGATGATCGCAGGACAACCCTGCTGGATCCCAGCAGCACACATGTATGTTCAATATCGAGATGACGTCGAGCACCCCCTCCAAGTCTAGCAGCAGCTTCTCGCGCAAGACATTCATCTCCTGGCATGCCCCACCCGACAGAGAACGCACCATGGCCGCCTGGAG